AAGGGTATTCCTGTCCAGGAATCCACTAGTGTTTAACAGAACTGGAAGAACCTCAAAGGACACTCAATTCCATCTGTCCCACACACCTTCTGGGCAGGGGCCATGCATATTGACTCAAAACTGCACACCAACGCTTCTTTCCATCCACAGCCCAGGCCAGGCAACTGAACTCTGTTTTAGGTGCTCCCAATTTACCATTCTAATTTTCTGTAAAAATTACACATTCTGGTTTGATAAAGAGAAGTTACCTTTTGAAGTGCTAAGTTTTTTGCAATATGTAAGATCATGTTTGATAAGAAAACAGGTCACCTTGGTACCAGTTTTCTCAATTATCCAGGCACCTCACAAATCCACTGGTATCAACTGCACTGACCACTGAAACTTCTATTTATAAGCTAGACTTACCCAAAGTGGATGCAGAAGCCTCTGCTAGGTCAGCATATTTGTAGTCATTTGGGTCATGTATGTTAGTAGCATAAACTTAATCATATACAAGTAGAAGAGCTCATAATACTGTGCAGAAAAAAATTAGTATGCTAAAATGTCTCACGAACTCAGAAGATTTATGACTGTGTTGTGTGGTTCAGCTTTTAAGCCTGACAGATACTCTATGTACTCCATTTGAAAAATAGAACACTTATATCAGAGTTTATTGGTGTGAACAAAAGACAGTTGGGATAAACAGGGAGTAACAGCAAGTTATGACTAGAAAACCATGACATTTCAGTTATCTACAAACCTTAGACCACAAAAATAGGCTTGGCAGTTATTTGAAAGAATAAAGTCAACCGACTAAAACTCAACAGCTCTAACATGGACCTCTGACAAACACGTACCAATCAGGAGAAACTATGAAAGAGAATTTTAGAAGCTTAAGGAAAGATGGCCTTATGATGCTCCTTTTATCAGGAGGATTCTAACATTCACAGGAATGTTAGAGGATATATGAAGAAAAGAAGTACCAAAAGGAAAAGATATAAGGAATATATACCGTATACTGACAATTAATACCTAAAATATATTTTTAATGTCATTTAAAGACCTATTAAAAAATATTAAAAACTTACCAGAAATACCATCAGCAAACCAGTGTTATCTATGGACACTAGTAAACGAAAGCTAAGCTAACCGATTTTTCTTAGTATCATTATGGGGGGTGGGAGAAAAAACATGCAGCATCCAAACAAATAAGTCCAATTACAACCTGCAACGTTATTTCTCTCAATTGTCCTAACAGTTGTCTCCCAGAACAGTTCTGAATATTGCCAGCGACACGTAGGTAATCCTGCATTGCTGTTTTCTGGAACTGTCTCATTTTGACAAATAGAGCAAGAATTGCAGTCTAAAAGGTTCTCTACTGGTTTTGGCTGGGGTAGAGTTAATTTTCTTCACAGTAGCTGGTATGGGGCTATGTTTTGGATTTATGCTGGAAACAGTGTTGATAACACAGGGATGTTTTAGTTACTGCTGAGCAGGGCTTCTACAGAGTCAAGGCCTTTTCTGCTCCTCACCCCACCCCACCAGCGAGGAGACTAGGGGTGCACAAGGAGTTGGGAGGGGACACAACCAGGACAGCTGACCAAAGGGATATTGCGTATCATATGATGTCATGTGCAGCATATAAAGCTGGGGGAAGAAGGAGGAAGCAGGGGAATGTTCAAACTCATGGCATTTTGTCTTCCCAAGTAACTATTACATGCGATGAAGCCCTGCTTTGCTGGAGGTGGCTGAACACCTGCTTGCCAATGGGAAGTGGTGAATGAATTCCTTGTTTTGCTATGCTTGTGTGTGCAGCTTTTGCTTTACCTATTAAATTGTCTTTACCTCAACCCACAAGTTTTCTCGTCCGATTCTCTTCCCCATCCCACTGGGGAGGGAGTGAGCCAGTGGCTGTGTGGTGCTTAGTTGCTGGCTGGGGTTAAACCACAACAGGTTTCTACTTCTCGTAAACTTTAAGACTTACTTCAAAACAGAATCCATAAAACATTGCTCTTATGTTACACTTACATCAGGAAGAGATGGTAGATTGTAGGAGCTACCCACTGGAGAACTCAAATCTATCACAGGGGGACCGTATGCCTTTCCATCACAACCTACAGCACTAGTGACTGTGGGGCTGGATGGAGTAGATGTGCTGCTTGCAGTTGAAACGGGAGTTGAAGTTTGTCCACTACCGATCTGCCACTAAAAAGAAAAAATACAATAATCCACAGCTTAGCTTTCTTCCCCCCTGGCCCAAACAGATCACATGTAATGCATATACCCATTCTAATTCAGCAGTTAATTCAGCTTCCTGAACTAAGCTGCTTATTTGAAACATAAAATCTTGATTTACTTTGAAGTTATCTAATTTCAAGAACTAACCTTACAAGACAAGGGAAGATGACAAGTAGTTGAAAACTATGAATAGAAGAAATGAATGTGAATTCTTAAATTCAAAGCTGCATCTCGATGTTACATATCTATTAATATTTCATGCTGCATTGACAGTGTTGTGGGAGAAATGTAACAGTTTTAGCGAAATAAAAGCATTACAGATAATAGGCTGAATGCACAACTGCTCCAGTGCTTTATTAAGTAAATAGTGTCACTTGGACGCCATCAAGTATTTCATGTTGTGCTTCCCTTAACAACTCAAAGTGATTAAGAATTTGAAATGCTGACTGGATCTCCACCCACATATATGTTTAACACCATATGAAGTGTACAGTCACGTCAGACTAAATTTCTCATTTAGATATGCAGTTTTCAAAGACTTTAATGGAACTTCATGGCAACTGTAGGCAAAATTTGATTCTGCTCAATTCCTTTTTAGTCAGTCATTCTATTTACTGGTTTCTAGTTTCAGAAAGACATTACTAGATAATGAAAATACTTGAAAGAAAGGCTTGCAGACAGGCCAATCTTCAGAGGCACAGAATAGAAGTTACTTAGTTTTTGTTACTACATGTTCTCTTAGATATTGTACAGCTTTCTTCAAGTTAGTTGGAATTAGTTCTATGACATCATAAGCATTGCAAACATAAATGGCATTACTCTACTTCTCAGGTCACAGGTCAGATTCATTTGATTCTTCCCTGCTTTACCTCTAGTGACATGATTTTCTCTTTCCTTCCACGTACCTAACAACTCATGTGTTAATATGCTTTTTAATAAAGATTCGCCTTCCTGAACATCCAGAAAATATGACCTGCTTGCTTCTGCCCCAGTTCAACTGATGATTAGCTGGGTATTGATCAGTCCCTGGAGAATGGTGGCAGCTATAGCTTTTTAGTCAAGCTTTTACCTGGTTCCTAGTGAAGTCACTAACATCAAGCTAAATACTGGGATTTTCTATTTTGTCTAGTCACTGACTGTAGTGTGCAGACCACAGCCATGTTAAGTTTTGCATAAGTGGCCAGAAATCACAGCAATAGCAGACAAGAGAATGAAACACCTACATAGCACACATAGTAGCCCATTTCCATAATGCTTCAACTGCTTAGAACTGTCAAAATGAAAGAAACTTGACAGTTATCTTAAGAAAACTGTGAGTATCTTGTCAGAGAAAAATGTAGTCTCTGTTCTAATTGAAAAGAACTCTAGGAACATAATATAAAAGTAAGATGATATAAAGTGCATTTGATGCTTTATTTCTACATGGTGAGTGAAAAGGGAAAGAAACTCTACCTGTTTTATAGCTTGCTGTGCCAAGAATGCCATTTGCAACGGGTTGGGCTTTATCGCTTGCCTTGGTAGGTTCTGATTTTGGGGAAATCTCATCTGTTGTGCAGGAAGAGCTGAACCATTGGTCTTGGGGCTATGATTCTGAAAATGAATCAAGCGCGGAGGTGCCTGCATGAAAACAAACAATTCTGCAAGTTAGCTGACATCTATTCAATATTCTAGAAATTTTTACCAAGTGGCCCTTTTAAGCTTCTGAAACTCTTAAAAAAGACACAAACAAATAGTACCACACTATATCTGAACTTAAAACCAAAACCTAGTAGACAGTTTTGAATTATTCTGATACAATAAATGCAGATACATCACAAGAGCCGGTAAGAGTACTTCCAACTTTGAAAGCTATATGGGAGAATCACAGAGCTTTATGCAAAAAAGCTTTAAAAAAAAAAACAAACAAGTGACATTCACTTTTTAATGATTTGACAAAAACACAAAATACACAGCTTAGCATTATATATGGTTGGATACCATATGATTCTTTTGTTCATGAATAAAAATAGACTGAGTGTTATCATGCATTTTGCCAGACAAGTTTAAAATGCCCACTCAATTCTCCGTAAAGAAAATGTTCCTTAATCCATCTACATAGCCATGTCTAAAGATGAAGCTATGTGAAGTTATGTATCTAGACTTAATTTCTTTGCTTTTTCTTATCTTTCTTTACTTTCTCCTTCAGTATCATGCAAAAAAAGCCTTCTCTGGAGATAGTCATAACTTACCTGATGAGAAGCAGGAGGTTGCTGCATGGCTCCTGGCATTCTTGGATTCGGCAAACCTACTGGACCTGCTCTGCGTTGAGCTTGCTGTCTCTGAGCCATGACCTGTTGCTGCATGTGCTGGAGTCGGAGCTGAGCTAAGCTTATCTGTGTTGGGAACTTGGACAGCTGGTTTGAAGGTAAGCTGCCTGGTGGCTGTAAGTTTGTTTCCATCACAGGGCTCTTGGGCATATGTGGTGGGGTTTCTTTATCTTCAATTACCAGAGAACCTAGTTTAAACAAAATGAATAAAATTAATACCAAAAATATTTCAGTTAGCAGAAATGCTATTTTTCACAATTAGTTGCTTATATACCACGCAGTCATCGTTCATTATTGTAACGCAAAGAATGGATAAACATGAGATAGAGGACTCCCATTTATTTAGTTTGTTTCCCTGAAAAAAAATGGTTGCATTTTACAGTGAACTGTCTTGTGCTGCAGCCTCTGCTAGGAAGCTGTCCTGGCCTCTCCAGAAGAGCAGGGGAACAAAGTTTCAATGGGAAAGAGTATCCTGATCCAATCATCTGATAAAAAGATAACTGCATCATAAAACTTAGAGGTATTGTGATCCTTTCTGGCCTCCGAGTCAACATCATGGAATACCCAAACGATACTCTCAGTTGCTAAACGCCATCAATTCCAGGATGTGATGGGCACCTCCAGGAGATGTTTTATCTCTCTCCACTGACTTTGAAGGAAATTTGACTAGACAGGTAACTTTTAGAGATTAATGCTGGGTGAGAGATTACATCTGAAGAGACATATAGTGTGATTAAATGAAACTCTCATGTAAAATTCTGGCTACCTCATTCAAAAAACATGAACTCCAACTACAACAGAGTTTGATTTGATTCAAGGGAATAGCACACTGTCTGTACAGGAAAAGACAAAGATACTTTCTTTGTTTTAAAGTGAGTGAATTAGGGAAAGTTATGGGCCGAGACCAAGAGTTAAAAAATTCCAGTGATCTGTGGAAAGTTGCACAACAGTTTTTCAATACAAATGGGAGATAGACACCTCATACTCCCTTCTCTCCCAGAGATTTAGGGCTGCTTCCTAGGAGAGTTCATCTCATGAAGCCGGTACATCCAGTGACAGTTTGACAATCCTTGTTACAACAGAACTTGAAATGACCCTCTGCCACTTCTCTCCTCATATCTATCAGTCTCTGTGGATCCTGTGCAGTCTAAGCCTGGCTCATTTTGGGGTAGATTATCTGAAAGAGTAGCAAACTTCCTGCATTTTATATTCCTCTTTTTCATCCCAAGAGCTGAGAAGGTAAGCAAGTAGCATCATTCTAGTCCTCTATCTAGACATGGGCACAGAGGGAGTCTAAGCCAGCCAGCAGACTATAGTGCAAAGCAGGACAGACAGCTAACATCAACAATACTATTTTCATATTGACACTTGGTAACTTTGGTGTTGCATACATTTTAACTATGATTCTACCACATCAGTCACTAACAAAAATATTAAATATGCTAAACAAAATGGAAAAAAACTACCAACCTATTGCCTAAAACTATTAAGCCTGTAACAGGTCTAGTCAATGTCTCCCATAAAGTGAGCAAAGAAAAATGCAAATAAATACTGTTTCCCATATACAGCTGTACGAAATATTTCACTACAGTCAAAATAGATCTGTTCTGTTTTCTTTCTCTGCAAAAAGAATTACCTTGACAAAGAATGGTGCTGACTGTACTACACTCAACTGTCAAACCTATACCGCACTTTTACTCTGTTCTCTCCAAGTCTAATTACATCTTCAAAAGTCTTTTCAGACTTAACATCCGTGGTCTAGCTACTTTCTCTAGCTACAACTACACAAAATGATTCCCTTCCATTATTCTAGAAAACCATGGGTTATTATACAATTCATGGAATTAAAACACCTTAAAAGTTGTATTTTTTTTCTTAAATACATTCTGAAATCCATAAAAGAACTATCCTATTAGTGTACAGATGCTACCACACTGTCAGCAACATGCAGCCTGATTAGAATTCAAGCCACTCCCAAAGTAACTTGTTTCTTTACTCAGACTTAATTTTATTTTTCCTTCAATGGTTCTTAAATCTGGTTTATCTACAGAAATTGAACATGTCCAATCATAAACGTAAGTGCCTAAAGGTTGTTATTTCAGAAACCAGACAGATAAACATGATCTGGTTTTATTTATCTTTTAAATAGATGAACTGTTAGAAGAACTTCTATGCTGATCTATACAGGTGCCATTCCTATTGCAGCACTTTTCAGAATTTAAGGGAACATATTTCAGCAGCTCATTAAATAAACAAGTAATTTTTAAAAAGAGCCCCAAAATCAAACACAAGATAAGCCCCCTCTTAACAAGCATCATCTCAGTTTAGCAGCAGTTCACAGTTATCATCACACAGCTTGGCAGTTTGTTTCTGGAAACAAGAGATTCACTTTCGATTCCTTTCCCAAAGAAAATTATTTACAAAGAAGGAATCTAGATAATTTCCCTGCTATCATCCAATGTCCTGGTGTGTAGGAAAGGAGCTTGTTTGCCTTAAAGCACTGCCATAGAACTTTCTTTCTCTGCCTTTGTAGAGAAATATGCATTTGCACCTCTCCGTACATTTGTAGAGCTGACTGCACTTTCTGGTGAAAGGCAGAAAAGGTCCCACAGGTGTCTTGCAAAGCATTCTGCACGTAACAGAAAAACAAAAAAGTGCCCATCAAGCTAACAGTGGAGAGAGAAAGGAAGCACAACAGCAGTCAAAATCCCAAAAAGACCTCTAAGCTTTAATTCCTGCTCCTAAGCTGATGAGTTCTTGGGATGCTTATCTCCATTAAACTCAGGCTCTCAGGCAATCCCACAAGCAGGCTACCTGCACGGCTTCCAGGTTCTCGGATTCATCAGTACCATAAAACCCTAGCAACTCATAGCTGTAAGAAAGAGAAATGTAAAGATTAGTTTGGAGACTAAATCAAAATCTATTGGGATAATGAAGATGAAGTACATTTGCAACTCTTAAAAAAAATGCTTTCTCCTGAATTCCATCCCACAACTTCAGGAAAGACAATCTAGAAGCCATACAGTTGTGAAGAAGTAGTGTTCTCTTCCCTGTTCTTCTCTTTCTTTGGCATTCTCCTGTTCTCTTCATCTCAGTTCTCCCAGGCTTGTTCAGCATAACAAGGGACCAAATGGGGGTACTTGAACATATTATGCTGCTGTTATGGGTTTCAGCTTGGGAACATAGGATTGAAGTAGAAGAAAGGGCTGGAAGATGCACAATGAGACGGACTTCTGCAAGCCTTTCTTAGGATGTGAAATAGGGTTATAGATCGTGTTCCTTGTTTCAGAAGCCAGAAGGCACACGTATTGCCCAGGAAACTGAAAGCTGCTATTTGCACCATCACATACACTATTCAAGCAAGGTAAGTTTGTTAATACTTTAGCAGAACTATTCATAAGTAATACTTTTTCCCATACAACACACCTTAAATGCCTCCTACAGGTAAGTAAATAAATCTAACAAAGTAAACCAAGAAATTAATAGTGCAGAGGCTATTTATCTTCACAAAAAGAAAGCTGCTTTCAAAATAGGATCAAGATGCCAAAAGGCTAAAAAAATTTATCATACCTAGATTGAAAATATTTTGAGCCCAGAAGCTAGGATCACAGTGAAACTGGATGGTATTGTTAGTCACTGGTGACGCATCACACCTTGCTCGGAGAAGATATCGTAGTCGATATGTAATCTAGACCAGGAACAAAACAAGATTTGTTTCTCTGGAGCCAGAGTCATGTATCCAAACAGCATAAAAAGGCTTTTAAAAAAAAAATCCACACTACAAAAAAACCAAACAAACAAAAACCAACAACAAAAACCCCTGAACTATCTCCTAGAGAGGCGAAAGACAGAAATTTGTCCAAACTACAAATAAAAAGAGGTATTAACAACATCTTTCCCTTATTCCTAAAGGAGTTTTAAAAAGCAACCAACTACAGCCTAAAAAAATTTAATTCTTCCCCGCTGTAGACATGATATATCCTTTCACAAACTTGGTCATTACATTCAATGACTTGAACTACTTGCAAGTGAAGTACAGATTCACATAAACATTGTTGGGTTTTCCCCCCCCAAACCTATGTTAACCCATATCATTTTTCTTTCAAAGAAAAGTATCCCATCCTTTTGGCAACAAGTATCATCATAGGGAATTTTCCTTTGCAATAAATTTAAGTTTTCTGCAGAGAGCCAAAGAACAGATTTTATAAACTTTGTCTTTGAAAACTCTCAGATCCACAGATATTTACAGACTCTTCCAACCTCTTGGTTCCAAAGGACTGGACTACGATTACATTACACAACCAGAATACTCTATCAAATACTCAGTATTTATCTAGTTCCTAGAAAGAAAATACTGTCTTGCAGTTGTTTCACCACTAGAAATATCTAAAACAGGCACTAAAATTAGAATAACACACAGTAGATATAGAAAAAAATTTAAGAGTTCACTCATTTTTGTTGAATAATAGATTATTACCTGGAAAAGCTCAAGAGACATACTTGGCAAATTCATCTTACCTGTTTAAAATTATACTAGCTATCTTTCATATAGGAATTTTATAAGAGCTTCCAGTTTAAGCTGTTTCTTTCAATTTTAGGTAGGTCAGTTTTAGACTAGTTACAAAAAACATTTAGCAGGACTTAAGTTTTTTTAATGACCATAGAAAATTTTAAGTGCACTACTATTTTGAATATAGATTTCCTACGATTTTTGTGTACACTACCAGTATCAAGTACACTACACTATAGAAATTCTAGTCATTTGTCCTGTCACCAATGCTGGTTGCACACAATTTTTGTCAGTTTGCTCCATATATTCCTCCTATTGTGCACGCGCATACATTGTAGATGAACCCATGACTAGCCTAGGTACCTCCTGTCAGAAACAGTGGTAGCTACCAGTGTTTTGTTTGTGCTAGAGGACTAGGCTGGGAAACATATGTCTTCAGGCAAACTGTTTAGTGTGCTATTTCCCTGAAGTACAGACATTGCCTCCTAGCTCTAACTCTGCATTTAACTCTCCCGGGCATTCCTCCCTCCTTGTTTCAAGTGGTTGGATATGCTGGAGCAAAAGTCTCACATGCTCCTCCACGCATCATTGTTCAGGAACAGATTTTCCAGATGTCCACAGACAGGTTAGCTACTCAATTCCCAAAACACCACCAACTTTCACCAAAAAAAACACAACCAGGAGACTAAAGCTCATCTGTTCTTTTGAAAAATATTTCTCATTTGCTGAGGCTTTAAGGGCTAGATGGCCTTTTTCTTCAACTGCATAATGTTTGTAAGATTAAGATGGCTGCAACATAATTTGTTTTCTTACTCACATAGCAGAAGTCTTTGTGGCAACACTAAGCAATTATAAACAACATGACTCAGTTTGATGCCCTTTTTCTCTATTTAATTAAAAAAATATGAGTTGCCGAGGTAGTATAAGGCTGGCCAAATGAATTTAACTGCTTCAAGTAAGTTCACAAAACCAAGTAATATTCCACTATCTGCTATAACCTGCAGCATTTTAACGGGTATAAAAAAAAGCCACGACCAAAAAACAAGAAACCCAAACCCAATCAAACAAACGCCCCAAAAGCCCCCACTAGGTTCTTAACTAAGCAAGGAGAAATTAAAGAAAAAAAAAAACTTTGTGAACCAGTTATAGGAACTGGAAAAAAGGATCTAGCATCTTTCTTCAACATTGCCACATATTTTTGTCATCAGGCTAGGACAACGTAGTAACCTCTGGACAAATCATGGTCAGCTTTTTGGTTATTTTTTATTCAGTCTTAAGATTTCTGTTCATCATGAGCAGTCAGCTTAGTGAGAGCTAATGAGACCACATGCACTCAGATCTTAACTTTTATTATAGCATTGAAATATTTAGCTTCATAACTGTTCGAATGGATAAGCAATAGCCTCAGTTTCATTTTTATTAATTTTTGAAGATTTTCAGCAGAAGATGAGTCTGACAGAACAAGGCAATACATTAATTTTTACATTAAAATGCTGATATCAGACTCTACAATATATAAATACCAGCTTTCTCTGAACTCAGAAGCTGTAACAAGTACTGAAGAGAACCTCAATGATGATGTAGGACATGCAACATTTTTCCCAGTGTTTCATGGCTTCATGGTTTTCACTCCAGAGAAAAGGAGTTGTTCCTACTTCTGCAGATCTACAACAATCCTGTGGTAGTGTAACAGGAGAGAATCATGCCCAGAGAGCTAAATTGTTAGAAACATTCTGTATTTATGTTTAAGAGAAAAAACATGAAAAAATATATATAAATATTCCAACTAGTAGCAAGTCATTAAAAAGTCTAATTCCTTAGTATTACTGGCAGGGAATTAGTATTAGTGCATGCCTGCGTATCTGCCTTAACTATAGTCTCTAAGTAAATGGAGAGTGCCATCTTCCTAACCTTACCAAGCGTTTGCTGTACAGTAGCGCCGTGCTGCTCCCACTGGAAACTGCCCATTTGGAAAAATTCATGACATGTTCCAGCTGTTTAGAGAGACCTGCCACTTCCTGTTGTTGCTGCAGAAGTTTCATCCGATGCTCTTTTGCCAGAGTCTGCAAGCAGAAAAGCAGTTCCAGTTAAAAGGTTCAATTTATAGTTAACAGGCTTTAACTTTCATATTCGTAATTCACAATGATCAAGTGGTTTCACTTGGCTCTTCTAAAAAGCACTCCTGCCCACTGACTGCAGCTATCAGACAGAAAAGTCAGTATACATTTATTCCAGATTATCAGGAATTGCTGTGCAGATTCCCATTTTCTCTTATGACACATTTTCATATATATGTACGTGCCTCTAACACACACTTTTAAAAACACAATTGACGGTAATATTTTTCCAGGTATCCATTCTAGACAATTCTCTCCTTTGACATGCTATTGGATTGCTGAATTTATGAAAAATTCTGATGGAAACGTTTTTCATGCATGAGGCATACAATTGTTACTTGCAAAAGTATGGAGAAAGAAATTGGGCTCAGAGACAGCTCTAATTCACAAAGCAAGGAACACAGATAATAATTACAAACAAAACAACAACCACCCCCCCAAAACCCAAACCCTCCTCCCCCTCCCCCACCAAAACCACACTTGGTCAAATGGCTTGCATGGGACATCTCTCTACTTTGGAACTGTGATAGGACATGCCCAGGTGGCTAATGCTAGAAATGGATTTTACTTTAATGTGAAGCCACACCAAAAAAAGAAATACTAAGACTGACATTTTTGCTTCTTATGATAGAAATGAAATTACCTCCAACTGATGCAGTAGAGCTTTCCCCTTTTTATTTATTTCTACCATCAGTGTAAATATGGCAACTTTAATATCCTGTTCCACCTGCTTCTGATTCTGATTCACTTCAAGAATTCTGTAAGCAGACAGTATAGAAAATAACATTCTTTAGCTCACAAACCCACCCTTCAAACAGTATAACATGCCCTGCCCGCCCCCATTGCAGAGGCTATGATATTTCTTGGTCATATGCACCAATACATGCATATACCATCAGATACTTACAGTCAGAAAAATTACTCGGAGAAACAGAAACAGCAAGTAACAGTGACCTATTATAAAGTTAACAGGTGGGAAACTCTAATGCCATAAGCCTGTAAAATTACTGACATCTGCCACTGATAAAAATTAAATGATCATTGTAATTGAAATTCGTGATTTTTAATTGTCCAGCACATTTCTGGAATGGCCTATGGCAATCAAAACTGTTTAAGTCTAATTTCCATCTAAGGTAGAATGGCAGTCCAGAGACAAAAACAATAAATAGATTTTCTAATTAAGCTATTTCAACAACAGTGCTCAAACTCGTAACAGCAAAGCATAACCTTATATTGTAAAAATGACTGCTGCTAAGATGCAAGGGAGAATAATGACTTAGATGCAGCAAAAGAAGAGAAGGGTGTCTGCTGTTTTTTTCCATCTCCACCATCCTCAAAGACAGACAAAGACTGAAGAAGAGTTCAAGTTGCACTCAGCATCCCATACTGTGTTGAATCTTCCTGGGTACTGCCTTTCAACTCTACTGAAGGAGCATTTAACAAAGGCCTGCTGCAGCATGCATTTTGCAGATTTATTTTTCTCCTAGGTTTGTAGTACTGAGTGAATAAAGCCCCAGGCGTAAAAGTATTACATAAATCTTCAAATGTGTGTCACAAGTATTATGAAAACATGAGTCATAACCTTTCACTTTCTAAGAGGGATCTACACTAAGAAAATAAGTGTGCTGATGTGGGGAAGAATAAGACTGCCTTCTACAGTCTTTATTGCATAAGTTGTTTTGTTGCATCCAAGCGATTGCTGCCCATTAAGTCCACAGGCCAAGTGGAAGAGTTACTTAACACAACCAAGCACGTTAAACAGGCAACAGTCACTACTGCAAACTTTAGAATTTCTCTTTCTAGAAGAATCAAAGGAAAGAGGTACAAATCTCACTAATCTAAACATTTCGAGAAATTACAGTGTATACAAAGTTGCCCTCTGTGTCAGTTTTAACCTCAAAATCTAATACATACCTGTTCTGGATCTGCTTCCCTGTATATTTTATGTACTTAGTCTTCTCCATCAATTTGGTGATTAATGTCTCAATGATCACTTTCTGGTTCTGAAAAGCTTCTTCAATAAACTGGTACCTGTAGTAAAAAAACAGCTAATATTTATACATGCAAAAGGTGCTAAAAAGCAAAGTGCCTTACAAAAGACTTCTTTAAATGAAGAAAGATGCTGCTCAAGTCCAAAATTTAACTGTTATCATGGAAGCATATGTCAGCAAACGTTGATATATTTTATTTATAGTATATTCGAACTTATACTATATTTCCTGTAATTGGGGATTTATGATTTTCATAAATACGAAGGGATATTGCGTGACCATAGCCTAATTTTAGCAAAAGAAAACACTGTAGTCAACACTTTTTAAGTGAAAGTGCATGTAAGCTATTGCTTCATGCAAGACGAGGATGTAGAAACAGGAGAAAGAAGAAAGATCGCTGAGTCAGTAGAAGTCAGCAACATTTTAAATCAAGGAACTGAAATCATCAACAATTTAAGGAAAAAAAAATAGGTGGCACATTCTGAAAGGTATATAAATCCTAAGAAAAGGAGAATTGAAAAGCAAGACTGCAACTCTGCAAGAGCAAGGTTTAGTCTGTTCCAAGGAGCAACAGTGGCCAACATTTCTCCACCTATTGCTGCTCACCTGGTCAGGTAAGCAAGTTCTTTGGGTGGTTGCATCAGGTATAGTGAGCATATTAATATTTAACCTAAGAGTACGTCTGTCCCAGACCACTACTGTATGTGTTAGCCAGCAAGATTACTGTCCTGTACTCAGAAGTCGTATATAATCCTGCTTTTCAGTTTTTGTGGCCAGTAACAGATGACCAAAGAACAGCAACCCAAAGATCTGAGTGTTATAAATACTGTTGTCGAAGTATAGTATAGCCAAACTCTAGGTTTACTCTTCCTTTTAAAGGTCTCTTCACAGAAAAAAATGCTCATTTGTTCCATTCTGAAATTGTTTGGTAATATTCTGTTATATAATCATCTTGTTGAAGGACAAATGGAGAAATTACACGTAAGCGTACAGTTGCATAACACAGCCTCTGCACTTTCTAAGGACTCTCTGAAGAGCTGCATAGCAACCAATTCTCTCCAAATAGCTTGACAGTAAAGAAAGGTCTTGTGCTTAAGTCACCAGATTAAGACCTGGAAGAACTGAGTTTTATTCTAAACTATCACACACTCATCAGCCAAACTCTTTCGGATATAATCTCTGTCTATTTGTGGGCTTCATTTCTGAGCAGAAGATTTTATTTTGCACTTTTTTCACCTGACTGTATTCCATACAGCTAGAGCTACAATTAACTTCAAGCTATCTTCCTATAAGTGAGTTGCATAAAACGTATGGTTTGTTTCAATACCTGTGCTCTTTGTGTTCTAGTAACTGACAGTCTCGGCAGGTCAACTTGTCGCAGGTTTCACAATACAACTTCAACTGTTCCTTTTTGTGGTAAGGGCAAAACACAGGTCGCTGACTGGTCACACCAACTGCTTCTGTTGAATAAAGGAAGATGTCAGTCCAGTCCCCTGAAATTACTCTCCTGTTTTTCCTTACCATATTCCTCACCTAGATACTAGAACTGTGTATCAGGCCATCTAATCTAGAACATAACAGCTGTTAGCTCAAACTGCAATGTCTCACTCTTGATCAAGCATGGAGCTAACACCCACATCCACTCTCATGGAAAATGTCTAGAACCTATTTTACCGTAACTTATTATGGCCCCACAAAACTACAAAAGGAGTAGCCAGTATTGTTGCAGTTGCAAAAGACATTGCACAACCAGCAAGTTCCTTTCTTAAATGGAAATGAGGAGATTGCTGACTTAATTTGTTGCTCTGTCTTCTTGCGCAGTCAAATGGGTGAAAGGAGCTTTGAGGATATCAAGACACAGGCATTCAAAAGTGTAGAACATACAGAATATAATAATCAGAAGTTACTAATGTCCCTTCAGAACACCATTCTAAATGGGTCAGAGGTCTTACTTCAGTTTCTAGTGAGCAAATTCCAAAGAGCGCAGGAACCACCAGATGATAGAAACGAAACCTGTTCTTTAAACAATGTAACTGACAAAGCCTAATTTCTTATGAGTTAGGTTGGATACCGAGTTCATGATGATTATATGGCCTGTAATGTAAACTGGCTTCAGACTGCAGCCCATCCTTCACTGCAGATCAGTACAGTCTTCTTTTCCATACCCACTCATTCACTTACTTTCATGAAACCTGGAAGAAGTTATTTTCAGATCTGTGTCTTGCAGTCAAAATTCTTTGAAAACCAACCAGCAGACTCAGAGGAGGTCTGAACGCAGAGAGCATTCCTAACATCAAGTCATCTTCAGCACAACAATCAGACACTTTTACCTACTACTTTTGTGCTCTCCTGAAAGTATAACTCAGTACTCATTTTTGATTAACCTCACCTCAAAGTGGGATACAGAATATAGCGTGTATCTCCAAAGTATCACACTGGGAGCTACCCTTTGGGCAATAAAGGATTACAGACGTGAAAGCCCACATTATATGTAGAATTCACAGGACTATACATGGTGAAATGAAAAGAAATACATACTATAATGCATATATTTATAATAATATTTAGTAATTTATAAAAATAATTTAGATATTTACAAGATGAATCATGCAAGTCCAATGGACTTATTAGAACTAGTAGAATGTTTGTCATCATCCTATGATGTTGATAGTTGTTCTACAATGTCACTAAAAGATGAGACATAATGGGCATAAACTGAAAAAAAAAAAAAAAATACTTTCTCAATGACTAAAAGTACAACCTTTACTACCACGAGAATAGTCAAGATTTCTCAGAGAGGCTGTACTGTACACCACGTCCACCCTTGTTGGTTCTCAAGGCCCAAATGGGTAAGGCCCTGAGCAACTTGATCTGATCTCATAGCTGACTGCTTAGAGCAGGAGGCTGAACTAGATGATCTCCTGAGGACCCTTCCAACTTGAACTATCATAGATCCTACCAAGGAAAAGCATCCCAATTCATAACATACTTCCCTTTAATTTCTAAGGAAAAACATTTCAAACTTAAAATACTCTTAAGCTAACATGTGAATTCTGGCATGCTTTATTGCTAACAAAGCATGCTTTATTATCAGAGTGCCGAAAAAATATAATCTAGTGTAGCGCTCCTTTTGCTGCAGTATATTATCATAAAGTTCATACAAACAATTTGGTTGACCTCTAGAAAATCTAGGAGCCAAACACATAAAAATGTATTTTCTGCAGCTGATCTCTAAAGTCTAGACAATAATTTGCAATCATTCCAGGTAAAAAATAAAATCTATGTGTATTATTGGTTTAAAACACTTTGCATAAAAATCATATGAAATACCAGTCTGTAGGGTTTCTTACCACTATGCAGCATACCTGACAGAAAAATGTCTGTCACACACCCAGCCATGACAAAGTCTCCCTTTTCAGTAGCTATGTTTCAATGAATGTAATGCTTAAAATAAAGTTTTCCCTTTTGTTAGCTGGATCATTTAAGAGATACGCTTAGATGAGAAGTGGCCAAAAAAACACCAGAATTTGTTCAAATTGTTGCAGTCTTCAGTAATGAAACTGAAATAAGTAACTGGGAGGCAGAAAACTATTAAAACATATCCATCACCAACCAGAAAAATAACATAGTTCCACTAAGTCATATGCACCAAGGGGTTATATCATAATGAATCTGTCCTTTTACATTTACTAGGACTGAAGAATACAATTGTTGAAGTTTATCACTTTAAAAAGAAATGTGGTAGTCTAATACAGTTTTCCAACGCAGACACACAATCTTTGTGAAATTATAAATCAAGTGTGATACCTGGAGATACTTCCTCTTTTTGTCTCACAGTATGATCCTTTGTGAATTTAACCCTCTGGTGAGCTCTGATACAGGTCTTGCACAACCATTCAACACATTCCACACAAAAACCATTAGCTTCTGCATTGTCTTCACAGCTTGTGCAGACCTAACATGAGGAAGAAAACGTAGCTATTAAAATGAATATGGAATATACATACAAGCTATTGTTCATACATCGTCAGTGCACTTTTACAGTTTTCTGAAAACAGCGAAATGAGAACAGAAAACTGCCTGAGGTACAGGAACACTATAAATAACCGCGTAAAAGTAACTGAATGTGACTTTTCAAAGAAAGTGGTCATTTTGTCAGTGTTACTCTAAAACCTTTACCATGATGAAGGTCCAACCATTGCTTTCTACCTGACACTGCATACTTAGAAGCCATATAATGTTTACTATATACAATATGCTCTTGTGAAACATTTACTGAAGACAGAACTTGATCAGCACTGTTCTGATTTTAGAAGACTCCCTCAGTTCATGCAGAAGCTTTAATTTTAGTTTCTGTTCACCTGCTTAGAGTTTCAGGTGGTACACAGAGTATTGAACAGCAGGGTTCTTCTCAAGAATCTCTGTATCACCACTTAAAGATGGCATTCTAGTTAAGTTTATCAGTAAAGCTACCTGAGAACAGATTTGCAACGAATGCATAATAATTTTCAAACTGTGGCCTGTTAATTCCTGGGGCTCTTTGGACTATACCCAAGAGATCTAGGAAAAAAAAAAATAATTAAGGAAAACAAACCTGATAGTGGACCAAAACCTCTCGGCACAGAGTCAATACACACTCAAGAAAAGATTCCTATGGATATACAATTTGAACAACAGGTTGAAAACTATGAATGATGGACAATACCACTTCACGTGTCTATTCCATTTTTTCATTTTTAATTCCTCCTTTACAATGTCTCTGTAGTCATACATTCAAGGGGGTTTTGGTGGTAAAAATAGTGAACACGCTTATGAAGATACTTGTTTAGGTAACTGCCATCTACTTCTATCAATGTTTGGCACTGTTGCAAACAAAAGCCTCAAGATGTCTGAAGATTGCTATATCCTACAGATCACAGTGATAGAATTCTGCTAGCAGGATCAACAAGGAGAAAAATTTTAGATTTTAGTTTAGTTTTCAGTTTGATTAAAGAAAAAAAATCCAGCTTCTGCACCCACACAAGATAAATATAGATTAAGTTAAAGAGGAAGCAAATATTTACACCCTATGCAGACACATAATATATATGTAGAACTAGGTCCCAGTTTCCCCTTCAAGAAAACGAGGAAAATCAGCACTAAACTTGCTTCAGGCCACATAGCAAGTTACTGACAGAACTATAATTTGAACATAGGAGTTCCAGATTCCCAATGCTGTGCTTATTCTTCCAGATCGTGTTGCCTCTCAAAGCAAATATCTTCTGAGAAATGAAATTACAACGCAAGGGTTGTTGACCTCTTTTTGTCATTTGGAGTTTGAAGCAGTTCCTTTTCATTAAAGGTGATCTGCAAAGGAGAAAAAAATCGGGCTTGTGCCCTGTTTTATGTTTCTTTACAAAAATAAGGCCTCAGAGTTTTATTTTTAAAAATAATCTTAAATTTTTTTCATGTTCTGCTTAGTTTTTCTTTTTCTTCCCCTTCTTCTTCTAACAATAGAAATTCTAGTCCTACCCAGGCTAGTTGATAGGAAGAAATACCAAAGTCAGGACATCATAAAAAAAAGAGTCAAGAAAATGGAAGTAAAGCAATTAAAGGAAGTGAATTGTAATCAGGAAATTGAAAAATTGTACTTGCTGTTAACCCTTAATTTCAATGACATTTTGAATTAAAAAAAGTATTCTTAGGGACTCAGCACAGCTTCTTGAAAAAAAATAGAGAACAAGCAAGTGTCACTGAGGCATTACTTCAATGTTACATTTTCTCTGGCAGAAACTCCCATGAAAGAAATTCCCTCCCTTCTCCTTTGCCAGTTGTCTCCTCCTCAGGTGTGCCAATGCAACCCTCTGCAAGACTGTGGTGTAAAACCGGATTGATTACACCATTGTAGCCCAAGGATCAGTTACATCAGCACTGCTGACTTGGCAGTGAACTACTGCAGAAGGAGAAAGAAGTTTTAAAACCAATCTTGTTGCCAGAGAGGTACAATCATGCTATACCCCCAGATGTGTTTTTGCAAGTTAGAATGGAGAATAAGAGATTGGATATTTGTTTTTCTAGTGTAAAAAACCCAACAGTGAAAACAAAATAAGCAAAGGAAAACAACAACAAAAAAAGTCTGAGGCATCCTTTCAATCAAAGGAGCAAAACCGAAAAAAAAAAAAAAAGAAAAAAAAAAGAGGGGAGAAAAAAAGGCGGGGGGGGAGGGCAGGAACTCAATTAAAAAAATAGAAAAAAAAAACCACAACAGTCTTTCCAGGTCACCTTTAGCAAACTTAGGCAGATAAACTTGCTATGTGTCAGGGCATTTAAGCAAGTTCAAAGGATTTCTGAAGTTATTCATTCCTCCTAATTTCCAAGATCTTTGTCTATTTCTTTTTTCACAATATGCTTTAAGTTTTCTTCCAACTGGTTTGACCCGCTATAGTTGGGATGAGATGAAGATTGTGATTCAATAACCAATAATCAGGTGCCACCAAATGCACTGAAACTCCTTTTTTGTAGTCCCAAAAATACATATTCCAACTTTATACTCTTCAAAGCCACCAAGTAGGAGAGAGATAGATTTCTAAAATTTCACAGACATCATAACTCATGCTGTCAAAATAGCTATGCCTTCTAGGTAGAAACTAGATTTGCTCCTACCCACTTCTTATTCGAAATACGCATTTTCAGATATAGCCTGGATTTTGCTAGAACTCCTAGTTATTAGAATAAGTCATATAACTAAAGCACATTGAAGTACAATTACTGCAAATATTTGCTATACTGTTATAAAACCTAAAACTTATTTCACTCTTATTTGTGTGACTCATACAAGCATTGCTTCAGTGATTTAAAAGAAAACTCTCCCTAGTTAGCCTGTAAGCCTTTATTCTGGTTTGACAGATTTATTTTTTTTTAAATTGAGTTTTCTTTGTAATTATATTTAATTCAGTCAAATTTACTTCAGTTTAGTATTTATAACCCCAGGAAGTGTTCACTCAACCTTCATTCAAACTTAACAAAAGCTGCAATTACTCAGCATGTTGCAGGTAAGTACTATTTTTCCATGTTGTAAAAGCTTGTATATTTACTTAAGAACAGATTTACATGCAAGAGTAGGGGTAATAGAGCTGTCTTCTCAGCAACTGTAGTAACTAGCCACTCTTCCAATTAAATCTACTTTGAGTATTGAATAGATTAAATAAGCAAGCAAAGATTTCAGAGTTTCAAAGGAAGAGAACAAAGTAGTCCAGAGGAATATTCAGTGAACTAACATTCCCTACTTCACCAGTGTAAATTAGATGCAATGGTTTCCTGCATCAGAACCATAGTTATATACTTATCTCTTGGCACATACAAAATCACCAACGACAGCACCTGTCTTTTGGGCCTTTCTCACCTACATGTAACTCTAAAGATGAACCATGTGCTGGTATCTCAAAATGTATGAATCCTGATCAACATGCCCTCCTTTCCCCAACATCCCATCAACAGCTGCCTCTCTTCAAAGCACAACAAAACCATATTGCGACTCTTCTAGCATTTGTTACCCACTGCCCTAAACCAGTGGCTTTCAGAGATGTTTTGGCCATGGCTACAGCTTTGATAAGCTATTTAGTGTACTAGTTCTTCTTTGGAAGAATACATAGTGGCTATTCTGGCACCATACAAAACTAGAGAAACTTCTTGTTCTAAACCATCCTCATCAATCGCTCTATTATGCCAATCAGACTTACCATCTAAGTATCCAGATCTAGTATCAGATCTAAACTCGTACCTTGTTTTGTTACTACATTCCCAATATCTCACATAAAGTCCAGTTGTTCTTCATTGCATTCTCAGGTCAGTAATTGGTAAAGATACAGCAAGTGTTCTTTCTATCAAAAAAATTTTTTTTTTTTTTTTTTTTACACACATGTTCTCTTTTGGACACAGAAGCTATGAGAATTAGGACCCAGACTAAAATGCACTACAGACTTAATATGCTGCAGCAACATCAATGTTATCACTATGATCTTCTCTCCTGCATCAATCTCACACTTCTCATTTTTACTTTCATGGCTTTGCACACGCGGTAAACAATTTTCTTCTGTTAAGTTCCTAAATTTCTCTCACTTGTCTACCCTTTAGTCTTATTCAAATTAGCAGTTGCTTCAGTAACATTTCTTGAGCTTGAAGCTCCTTTCTACTCACTCTTATAAATCAAGTATAATTAATGTTTATTTTCAAACTCCTCTTCAGCATCCAATAATTTTACTAAGTCTTCCAATAAATCATAATGTGAAAAAATTATAAGGATCTGCTTTTTTGAAGTATTTATGTCCTAGTTGCCCACAAGCTACACTGATTAGTTTCATGAAGATCACAATTGCATTTCCCTTTAGTCTTTTCTTCTGGAAAGCTTCGTATGCAAATAGCCAGCACAAAATCCTTAATGATCTCTTTAATGCTAGCCAGAAAAGCCCTTGTGGAACTAGGGAGTTTTACACTTTCTTTATGCTTACTTCTTTTGCTCCTTAAGTTTTCAGTAAATTGCTAGAAAGCACAGCTATGTAAGTAGAGTATTGAACTGCCAAAATCAGGCTCAGATAGGGTAAACATGATTTTAGATAAATGGATTGCACTTTCATGGGTTCCAGTTATTTTTCTCACCCCACAATGCCAGGCTTCAAGATATGCCATCCACTCCTACAGTTTTAATTCAATATGTTAAAATTTATTTTAGCATTATTACCATTTTAAATCTGAAACAACCAAACACTGAATTTGAAAGGGGTTTTTTTTATAGTCTCTCTTGAATGGAAATAAACCAGTCCTTCCTGACAACACATACACACAGGCTAGTCATAGATATGGACCAGTGGTTCTAAGCCACAACATCACTTGCACACAACCCATGGCTTGCCTCTAATTCTAATTTCTTAAACATCCTGCTAGAGCTGCCAAACTATCAAAGCCAAACTAACCATCTCAGTAGGAAATTTCTATAAAATAGTAAAAGGTTTTGGCAGAATTTGGATGATCTGTGATCCAATATTTCCTGCAAGTCTCAGTGTCTTTTCCACTTTAATTCCTCTGATCTGTTGCCTATCTTGCTACTGGCAATTTTTTTTTTTTTCTTTTCTCTTTGCTCCTTCAAAGGCAAAACAAGACAGGCCAATTAGAAGGATGTATCATCCTTAAACTTCATAATATTCCCCCTTGAACAGGAAACCCATCCATTTAACTATTATTGAGTTAACTTTGCTGTTCCACAACAGACAGCTTTATAGAATAGTGTTGCTTTTTTTTTTTTTTAACGGTTCCAATGTGTCATAGTTGCCGGCCAAGTAACACGCAGCCGCTTGCTCACATCTCCCCCAATCCCAGTGGGATGGGGAGGAGAATCAGAAAAAAGTAAAACCTCATGGATTAAGAACAGGTTAATAATGGAAATAAAATAAAATATTATAATAATAATAGAGAGATTACAAAGAGAGAGAGAAAGAGAAATAAAACCCAAGATGGACAAGTGATGCACAATACAATTGCTCACCACCCACCGATCAATGCCTAGCCTCTCTCCAGGCAGTGATCAGCCCTTCCTGGTCAACTCCTCCCAGTTTATGAAGTCTATGGTATGATATATCTGCTTCGGGTCAGCCGTCCTGGCTACGCTCCCTCCCAGGTTCTTGTTCATCTGCTTGCTGGCAGAGCATGGGAAACTGAAAAGTCCTTGACTTAAGAGTAAGCACTGCTTGGCAACTAGAACATCAGTGTGTTATCGACATTACTCTCATACTAAATCCAAAACACAGCACTGTACCAGCCACTAGGAAGAAAATTCATTCTATCCCAGCCAAAAACAGGACACAATATCGAAGTACAAAGGAATGTCCAAAAAGCTTTATTATCATACCAAAATAAACAAAAAAGAACTGCACATCAGTCATTTCCAAGAGGCAAGGTACACACTCACTTAGCAGGCATCTAGCAAAACATCTAGCTCAATTTAAAAAAAAAAGTCAGCAGAAAAGCACATGAATGTACTACTCTGCTGGTTCATCAATGTCTGCTGGTTTGCCTTCAACTGCTGCAGAGAGTATGCCAAGTTCAGCCAGGGAACTTATCTGAAGAACAGACATGCTTTCTGAACTGCAAGCCTGCTGGTTTTTATTAGGGAGAGAGAAACAAACATGGAATGGAAGAGTAAGGTAGAAGTCTGAGAAGGGAACTTACAGAAACACAAATGCTTTGAAGAACCTCCCTGACATCTGCTTACACCACTCAACAATGGATGATTCCAAACCAGCTGATGAAATACGAGGAATTTCTCTGTATCTCTCTCCAGCAGATCAAGATCCAAAGGTAAACAAAAAATTGAAGTACACCCAATTTTACATGATTATGATCAACCTCAAGAATATAAAGGACCCTTCTTGAATTTTCAATTCCTTATCCAAAACTTAAAGGCCTCAATTCCCCACTTACTACTTCTATCACCATTCCACAAAGCAGTACCTTAGAGGATTTGTTATACAAAACCCAAGTAAAGCAGAGGTTATGGCACAGCCCCTCCCTCCAAAAAAAAAATTCAGGACTGCTTCTGCACAAAGTTATTTGTTATCTTGCTTCTCTTCCTGATTTTAAAGTCATCAAAAAAAGTTATGATAAAAGTTTCAATGCAACAGGGACTATTCATTTTCTCAGTCTTACTGGTGGAGTATTGAGGGACTCTGTGTAAATCTCACAACTATCTCCAAAACTCAGATGTTTCCCTGCAACACCCAGGGGAAAAAAGAAAAAAAAACAAAAGAAAAAGAAAAACAAGACAAATCAACCAAAAAAACCCCACACACAAACACAAAAAAGGCAAATTTCAAACTGCCCTACATCAAGAGAACACTAGTCATACTTCCAGAGACTCCGAGCTAAATTTCAGTTTCTGGTAAAGTCTATCATTTCTCAGAAATCGAGTTGCAAAATTCCTTATAAGCTGAACAGAGTTTAATGGTTTTCAAGTCGTAAGTTAATTCCTTGGAGATGATGACAACATTTATACTTTTAATAGTCTGTGAGCTAGTATCACAAATCTGACTGGGTACTTTCATCTGTTCCTGAGAGACATACCCATTCATATATGTAAGCACAAATTTCAGCTAAGCTTTGAAACAGGCAGACTACACAATAAAGGGCCTCTGAGAAGCTGCCCCAGAAACAAATGGATCAAGAGCCAATGATACAGGTCCCTAAAACAGGAAAGCGGAAAAGAGGCATTTTGAAAATCAAAGGAGACCACCATCCAAACGTTAGGGGATGAGTTAAAATGTAAGCTACACTGACACAGCAACCTTTTTGTACTGTTATCATGAAGAATATAGCAACATATAAAGAGGCTGAGTTATGTACAATAAGTTCCTGGAGTTTAATAAAAATTTTATGAGTAAACAGATACTTGAGATACTCTCTTACTAGCTAAAAATGAAGACATGTAATATTTTGATACCAGAGGTTGCTAAACTGTGGTCTTACACAGATGTGATTATTCATTTGGTACTGCTTCCACACAAGTACTTTCCTCCTGAAAAGCCATCATGAGGAAAACCCCAATATTACTATTTTTCAGATAAGCAGGTTTCCGTTTTATGACATAGCTATTATTTGATTGCAAAAGGAAGAAGAGGCAGTCTACCTAAGAAAAACAAAGAAGAAATCCCTACAGCATACCAGTTTTATCCTCCTGCTTGGTAACTGCACTGCAGCTATTTAGTGCCATGTTTTGTCAGTGCTGAGATAAGAAAAATAAAGACTATTTAACCAGAGGATTCCATTTTACATTGATATCTCTTGACTCAGTGTTGTTCAGGTCTTTCCTTCAAAGAGTGCTTCAAGTGCCCTGTCCAAAGTATAGAAATTCCCATTCTAATGCCTGTTCCTCACTTTTATGTTTTTCTATCATGATGCAATTTTGTACCAACAATTAAAAATAGTTCAGAATAAGATAACCACCTTCTTCACATGCATTTTTGTCAATTTTAACTGATTTTCTAGAGTAGCTATCCCTTATGATGACCACGTACTTGATGTCTTTTTCTGCAAACAAACAGCAAAAAGGCCATGCAGCAAGGAGCCAAGGATATGCATACATAGCCAAAAGGTGTTGACTTGATTACATGTTAATACGCTTACCTGATTTGATTTCTCTACTGTGCTACTGGGAACCTCTGTGGTATCCTTCACAAAAAAGTTATCTATGATGTGTCTTTCTGCACATTCCTGACCACAAATTGGACAGCGGATAACACCAACTGGAAGGAGGAAAAAAAAATAATATCTGATCATGCTTGCACAACTTAAGATGTATCAAATAACTTCAAAGACAGCTTGTAAGAATAAATACTTTGAAATACTTTCCTGTCAATAAGGTATGATTAAAAAGCAGCTAATTCTCATTTATCACTGAAGTAACCTTTACCTGTTATTCCCTGATGACGTATTCTTCCAAAAAAGGTTACGCACCTTTTTGTTTCAATCCTATAAAGACTTTGTCTTAATCCTTTAGAAAATTAATTCCTTTTCTCTAAAGACAATGTATTCCAGTTGACAACTTGTTGTTATAGAATGGATTAAAGTACACATTTATTAGTGTGGAGTATTAATTAGTGACATTAAGCAGTATTACATACACACACATACAGGTCAGCAGCGTGACATGACTGACTTCAACTATGTAATACGAGAAACTGAAACACAATAAATTCAAGATTAATGAAGCAAGTTGTGTAGAGGAAGAACAGACCTGTATTAATATCATGACTGCCTTCACACTAAGCAAGGGAAAGCAAGCAAGAAAGATACAGGAATAAATAAGCGAGGTCCTCTCCCTCCTCTACTCTGTAAGACACACTTGGGAACAATTCTAAGACAATAACATACCTAGACTCCAGGTTGAAGAAAGAGCTGAGAACCAACAATGCAAAGGATTAAACAATTAATAGTTTTCTCAAGAGAATAAAAAGGACAAAGTCAAGTTCAAAACTTGGGATTCAACTAGACTGAAATGGAAGAGATCTATACAAACATTTTAAAGTAGACAGCTTTCCTCGCTGCAGAAAACAATGTCTTATTAGCACTGAGGCTTCTTTATCATCCAAGAAAATCTCTAAAATGCTAGGCATTAGCATTTCACTTTAAGAAAATTATCACAGTCATTCCCACCAAAAAAAAAGAATAGAATGGAAACTAAGTCAGGTTGAAATGATCACTTTGAATGTGGAAGTCATCATGCAAAGCCTACAGTAGAATAGTCATGCAAGCCCACACCAAGACATATTCTAGACCAACAGCTGCCATTTCAGAGGAGGCATGATTTTAAGGCCTTAAAGAAGATCAGAGGCACCATTTAAGCCAATGAACTTAACATCAGTATATAATTCAGCACTTGCATATTTAACTAAACCAGCACAGGCTTAATTCTGTTCTAAATTTTATTGTGAAAGTGAAACAGGAAGTACAGAAACTATTAAATATTTCACTTTTTGTGAAAGAACTTAATTCCTTACTGTAAGTGCTTCATATAAGCTTTAGGTAACTTTTTCATAATGTTCTTCCAATACATGCTAGAGATTTAACTGGCCAACCCACTATAAAGCAGTTCTCCAATAAAAGTCCACCAGTTTTACTAAATTAGCTCTTCGTTCTGGAAATTTAGCCAGCAGTTAGTTTTCCACTTGTGTGCAAGGCATTTCACTTTCATCTGAAAGGCTATGATGTTAAGCTTGGTTTTATTGCAATTACCATTTTGCCAGTCTGCATTTCAGTACATATTTGTGCAGCTTCTTTTGATACACAAATTCTGTATTTTGGTTAAAATGTTTGTAACATTTTTTTTTAATATCATCATCATGAAGGATGACTAAGAAATCAAATTCTGGTCTGTCAGGTAGTTAATAGAACTCCAAGTACTGAATTTCTCCTTTTATTAAGCAAATCAATTTACCACAGTCAAGAGTGACCAAACCTCCTAATACTCAAGCTACCTACTTGCTGATTACAAACCACCCTTTGTTCCCTCACTGCTCATTCTTGACCCTAACAAAGCACAGCGCTCTGGACCAGCCCAAGCGACTGAGACGGTCTTTGCACGTGTTTGGGAGCCAGGTATAGACAGAGGATGAGACTGGCAAACCGATTCAGACATGGATGTATTTATCCTACTTCCCCAAGCTTCATGGTTAGCCTCCAACCTGCTTCACTGACCAAACACACTACTGCTTGCACTGAAGTAACACGAGAAGCGGCACAATGATGGGAAGAGGCCAACACTGTCACTGAAGATCAAACATGGAATCACTGAAGCAAATCAGTTGTATTAAGCCCAGTTTACTAGTCAAGCTTGAATTGAAAACATGGCAGGCAAGGAGGAGGCAGGGGACAAGTTAGGAAATGTATTAACGTAAACCAAATGTTTCACTTGCATTTTCACCAACAGAATACTGCCAACTACCTGTTCAAGAGATCACTTTGAAATTCTAGACTGAGATAGGAGAATGAGAAAAGGAAACCTGCCCAAATCTCTCAAACTCCTCTTGAAACTTTCTCCAGAATTCCTCATGCTGTCTAGCCTTAAGTCAAGGTTTTCTTCTGCAACGGTGTATGGGTAAGTTTGCTTTTGTTATAATCCTGGATTGATGACTGCTACACAAATCAGTTTTAAACCAGGTTTAGTCAACCTCAGGACCATGAATTTCAGTGAAAACACCCAGTATCATGATCTCAATGTAACGTTACAGACAGGTTACGCTGTTATGCGCACAGTTGGCAAAAGCAGCCTTTTTGGCACAAAATGTAAAACACAAATTAGCCAGGTAGCATTCCTTTCAGGTCTTTATCTACTATTCTTAATGTATCTAAGGCTCTTACAATAACGCACTGAACAATATAAATCATGTGTGGTCTTTTCCTCTTCACGTGGGAAATGGCGGGTGCAAGCAGAGTGCTCTGTACATGTTTTTTCATGCGTGTTGCATTTGAAACCAAAGGGTCATGGCAAATAACAGTACCTAATGAATTCATGCAGGTTTGTTTCAGAACTTCAATCTAGCCACCTCAAAGGGACACTCTGACACAGATATGCTGCACATCAGCACTGGAACTTCTCCCCAGGCTCTTTATCAATAAGGAAACAGTATGGTGGAGGGCACCATATAATCACCACACGGTGCTGCAGAACACGGTGAGGAGCTGGCAGTTCACCAGACCCCACATAACTGAGACAGACATCAAGTTACTGTGAAAGAAAAAAAAATGGTTTACAGTGAACCCAGAATTCAGAGCATGTTACACGAAAACAGAGGCAGAAGAGGGAAGACAATGACTACTTGGAATTGAATGGAAAATATGGATAAATATGAAAACAATGCATTAAAAGTTAAGAAAAGAACAATGATTATATTCAAGTAAAGACACATACTCTAATTTAGCAAAGTTCACAGACAAACATATCTCTGTTTCAACTTTAGCATTGCCACTGATGGTATCAAGGTTACTTGTCATAATTAAGTACTAAAGTTTATTTGGAAATAGAAATTTTAAAGTAAATTCTTCTTTTGCAATACTAGTTACAGAATGCAGCTTTTTGTATCAAGTGATAAAACTACACACAAGTCAAGCAAAGTTTTCAGCCATTCATCCAATACAAGCTGTACAGTTGTCAGCTGTCATGGATCTGATACAATTGAAGTCACTTCACGTTATTTATGTTGCTTACAGCACAAGATGCATCAGCACAACCCTAAGAGCACACATCTGTAAATTCCAGGCTGCAGAGAGTTACAAACAAGAAACATTGGGAACAGGGGCAGAAAAGTTACTGGATTTCTTCAGTATCTGTTTCTGAAGATGACACATTTAATTTTTTTCATGTGCAGAGTCCTCTCTTAGCATAAGATTTGGTCCAGTAACATGGTGCATTGCGTTTACATGTCCAGGTTTTGGTAATGGGGGGTGAGGGGGAGCTACAGGGGTGTCCTCTGTAAAGAAGGCACTGGGGACTGCGCCCAAGTCAGACGGACCCATTCCAGCCAGCTCCAAGATGGACCCTCACCGGTGGCCAAAGCTGAAGCCATCAGAGAGCGAGCAGCTTAATGGGTGTCTGGCTGCCAGCCAAGGTTAACCCAACACATATAGGTCTTAGAGACTGACCGTAATGGTTCGGGGGGGTGGGTTGTTTGAATTTTTTGTTTGGTTCATTTTGTTTGTATTTTTAAAGCTAAATGCTTTAAACTAGAATTCTGTCTTAGTTGATAAGTGAAGTGGATCTGAGAGATGTTGGTTTGTATGTAACTTCACAGGTTTTATATGGAGAAGACAGTGCTCTGTCATGTTGCAACCTTAGAGAGATGTAGAGAATACATAATCTCATGCCATTTACAGTATCTGTACCACTTTTGAGGTCTAATCCAGTTTAGAATATTGCCAACCACAGAGATCTTATGCTTCTTCCTTTTCCCAAGTAAAAAAAAGGCTCAGAAGAGTATTGAGACAGTGTCATTGTCCTCAAACTAGGTTACTAGATGACACCATATACTACAGTAGCTTAAGTGAAATCTTATTTCAAAGACTGGAGGAAAACTCAGATAGATGCATTCTAGAGTCAAGTCTTTGGTATCATCAATAAAAATGGAAACAGTATACAATAAATATCAGCATATTAATGACTTGACATTTTTAATAGATTATTTCTATTATCTCAAATCATATTATTTGTAATATATTTTGTAGGTACAGCAATGATTTGATAAAGGAATCACAGGCATGGTTTGAAACCCTTTTTTCCTCATCCAGTTTTCCAGTACAAAGGCCACGGACAAGCACCCCCTCCCAGGTCCTGTGGGGGACCGCACACTAAGGATTACTTACTGCTTTCCCCCAGCCTACTAATAGGCCTGCTAGAGTAGTTTGACTTCTGGTGCATCAAGTTAGGTAAGTTTAAAGTCGTAACTGACAAACAGTATCAAGACAGGTGGCTGAAGCAAACACAGGAGCACACATACAAGCTTTTTGCTAATGGGTCCTGTAGCAAGCAATTAACTCTAACTTTTTTGAACAATCAAAAGGACAATGATATTTTTCCAAAGACGTATCTGCTCCTATTTCATCAAAGCATTACAATAACATAAAGGAAGAAGGAATGCAATACAAAGGCAAGTTAATATAGCTCCAGTGTTTTCTTACTATATTCCATGTATGTATTTACCAATGTTCATTGGTACATCTTTTTTCCTCATAAACAATTAATTACATTTTA